ACTTTGTCACCTGTCAATGTGAGACTTTTGTCAGTCTCCTCAATATAGAAATGAAAAAGGGGGCTTCATTCATAAAGCATGAATTCTACACAAGTATGATTATTAGCAGCAAACTGAGCGTGAAAATCGATGCCAGTACTAAATGTTTTGATTTCCCGTTGGACTCACTGTGCTGCTAACAAGTCCTGGGGCATTGTCCTCCTTAAAAGAGCCGTGTGTCTGCTTTATAGGTTTTAATTCACTCTTTAATTACTGTAATAACAACTCGTTATTTTTAACACCTGTCCTGCCAAATCAAATCTTTAGCAGTTGTATTGTGTGGGCCCATGCCCGCAGAGCCTGCTCTTCACTATGGATCAGGATGGGATCTCCTCCGGAGTCTCCAGCAGGGAAACTTTTTGTACCTCCCCCTCAGCCTGCCTGCTTGGTCCCAACAGCACGTCGATGGTCAAAAGGTTCACATTTGGAGGCGCACAGAGGACCGGCGGCTCTCTACAAGGTAACACAGAGCAGCGTCTCTGCCCGGCTTTATTCCTTAAACAGTATTTGCAGCTTTTCGCCGACAGCCTGTGCGCCGTCGTTAAAATCAGCCTGAGCTTAATTCCGTGGATGTTGCGCTGAGAACTTTTACGCGTCGCTCAGCGCAGATGAGCTTTTCCAAACTTTCTCCGGTGTTCACTTTTGTTCTGACTGCGGTGTTGCAGCAACTTTTTCCCCACAGTTATCAGGTGAAGACAGGTTGCTGCTGTTTGTGCGAAAAGATGCAAAAAGTCTTTGGAAAGCCTTCTGTTTGAATCCGCTGTAGCCGCACTCATTTATCAAGACAAAGTTACAGATGCGATGAAGACAGATTAAAACAGCGGCGAAATTGTAGAGTTGCTTACAGTTTGTTTGCACCATATGGTCGTGAGTTTACTGAGGGGGACTTTTCTTAACGTCTAACGGTGTAAATGAATATTTCTGCTCTCCAAAGCGAGTTTGCGCTGCACAGATGAAGACTGGTACTGAAAACTTTTTTTAAAGTAAACACTATTTTGTCAGGCCTTGTCAGAGCGATGCATTATTTACTTCGGCTGTGTGTGTATAGGTGTATGTGTGTGTGTAGGTGTATG